TTAAAAAGTTCGCTTATGTTCCCTTTCAGTGTTGAACATCTTCAAGACCCAGTTGTGTGCTATATGGTGGTGTACAGCTAGGTGCAATATCTGCGTTGTTAGGCCTAATAAATCCAATTTAGGCAAACACCTGGTCAGCTGGCGAGTCTCCAGGTAAGGCAGCGACTGTTTCCAAAGCAAGACGTGCACACAGTGGAATAATTACAGAATTTAACACTTTTATCCTACAATTTAAAAAATAAGAGTTTGGCTTCAATTTGCTTATATTATGATAAATTCATATTGAATTCTAAAAGAGTATTCATGACTACATTAAGTGGTAATCGATAGTTATCCACAACAACGCCTTGAATGAATGAATGAATGAATGAATAAATTAATAAATGAATAAATAAATTATTCAAGAACTGACATCACTGCACTCGGGACATTCCACCGAGTGCTCAGCATCTACAAGGGAAAACAGGAACCAATCATGGAGAATTGACACCAAACGCCGCAGAAACCTGGCACCGACGGGTAAACTGTCGTCTGCCGATTAATGGCGGCGCCCATTGATGTTGAATAGTCTTACAGGTTATATTGTACGTTCTGAGGTTAGATTATGTGTGATCGCGGAGGAAATATGCAGCGATATAGCTCCAAGAACAGATAGCGAACTGTTACCTAATTCATACAAAAATTATCCAGTTTGCTGCAGTACTTCAGTACGTACTGGTTGATTAAAATCAGGTTAATAATACTGTTACACTATTTTTTAAATGTTGTTTATTAGTTAGTTAGTCTTTCCTCTTGTGTCGAGTGCGGCACATAGGGCAGAGGTCGTGACTCTCCATGCACGGCGGTCCGTTGCAATCCGTTGTAGGTCTTGGATGTTTGAGTGGCCCATGAGCGAGCCTTTTCTGATGATAGTTCTACGTAGGGTTTCCCTTGGTCTTCCACGAGATCTTTTCCCCTGTGGTCAACTGTGGTGTCCAAATGAGGGCTTGGTAAGGAAGTCTTGATTTATCCATTCTAAGGGCGTGGCCGACATAGTTCCAGCGGCGTTTTCGTATAAAATTAGACACATACTCTTGCCTGGATTCTTGCCTTATTTGTGTATTGGTTCGGACATCTGACCATTTGAAATTTAGTATTCTTCTAAGGCATTTATTTTCAAAACTGTCTAATTTTGTGTCTAGAGTTTTCGTTGATTTCCAGCTCTCGCATCCATAGGTTAGTACTGGAATCACACAAGAATTGAAGATCTTGAGTTTTGTGTGTTTGCTAAGTGTCTTTGATTTCCAGATGTTAGACAGTTTATTGAAGGCACTAGATGCCAGTGCTATTCTAAATGATATTTCTGGTGCGGTATCTCCTGTAGATGACATCTTGCTCATTAGATAAGTGAAACTGTTGACTTTTTCAAGGCTGTTGTTGTTCAGCGTGATATCAACTGAACTGTTGGTAAGATCTAGAATTTTTGTTTTTGCGGTGTTAATTTGGAGTCCAATTTGTTCTGAGAAATTCTGGAGTCGATTGATTTTTTCTTGGGCGTCGGCCGTCTGTGTGTTCTGAACTCAGGAGTGCTATGTCGTCGGCGAAGTCTAGGTCTTCCAGAATTTTGTCAACCCAATGCCTAAATTTGCGTTATTTATGCACTTGCGCATGACCCAGTCGATTGCTATACTAAAAAGCATCGGCGATAGGACACAGCCTTGCTTCACTCCTGTTTCCACCGGGAACCAGTCAGAATTGCCGGAATCAGTTCTTACACAGCATCATGTTTTATTATAAAAAGATTTTATGATGTTGATATATTTGATGGGGAAACCATAGATGTTAAGCAATTTCCAGAGTGTTGGACGATGGATACTGTCGAAGGCTTTTTGAAAGTCGACAAAGTTGATCAATAATTTCGACTGGAATTCTGTAGAATCTTCAACAATTATTCTAAGAGTAAAGATGTGGTCTATGCATGACCGCATGTTGTTTAAAAAATTAAATTTAAAATCCACAATATAAAAATAAAATTAGCTACTTTAGTCAAATTTTTTTAATTTCCTTCTTACACCAATAAAACCAGCACAGTTAGATAGCTGTAAACAATCTCTTTCCAACGGTACCTCATTTAGGCTAGTGTGTCATTTCTGAGCTGAGATATGTAGGTTTTTGTGGAGATGAGATGTAGAAGAAAGCAGCTGCTAAAACTTGTGACCCAGAAACAAGAGGTTTTCTCTGCGCACCAAACTGCGCACTTATTGTTTTGGCTTTGTTTACATTGGACTGTCATTGGACAAGATGGCAGACAATGAGACACAGCCACTGGCTGAGCTAGCGATTGCCTGAAAAATGTCACTGTACATCTACCTAGCCACGGTTCAGAAAGAAATTTTATACACAAATGTAAAATTGGACGGAGAATTCAATTATAACTAGCATTACCAGGGCCAGTAACAGTTAAAGCCTAAAGCCAGCCCTGAATACTTATCGCTATTTTTAATCAAACTGATGTAACAGAAAAACAGAGGACGTCCGGCTGTCGTACACATGCGCTGTTAATCGGGTTCCTTCCCGCGGTTTTCAGCTTTATATGGTGGGTGAAAATCACACCAATCGCAAAATATCATGAGAGATTAGGACCCATCCCGAAACCCCAGCCGTCATTTGCGAAGCAAGTTTTGAACGGTTTCCAGGGTAACGGAAATTGCCAAAAGACCGCCAATTGCCGAACACCGTAGTCGCTAATAAAATAAATACATATTACAATGTTATTATTGTATAAGTGGCAAATTATTTGTTCCTGAGTCGTGCTAGTCATGTGAAGCAACGCAAACAGAACTGAATTTTTTAATGAATGATTACAATTTGTAAAAGTTTAAGTATAAGTAACGTATTTGAAGTTAGACACATGAAATATATATGAGGCAATGAGGATCAGTATGTATGTATAGTATTCAAATTATAAATTTTATTATTTTGATTTTAGTTTGCAGGGACTGCTATATTGATATACTACCACCGTATACTCGTCTGTCGACCTGAAGTAGAAAGGTCTGTCTATGTTCATACTAACATACTTCATACCTACATTAACTCTTGGAGTTAAAAAAAAGTTCCACTTACCACCATGGCACTCAAGAAAAACTGGTTAAAATGTATCCAAAATGAATCACAAATGAATATGAAACACTTAGTAATGTATAAGTAAAATATAAACTCATGCATTAGATTTTGTTCCAGAAAATCTTTTGAAGCATCATAACAGAGCACTATTATTTGGTAAAGAAAACTGAATCCCAAAACAATAAGTATCTTCACACAAAACAAAGTTTGACTATCCTCCAAATAACGGTTGTAAATTATCAAGGCGGAAAATATACCCTAACAGGGCCTCAGTCACGTGTCAATTGCTCACTTCTGAGGACTATAACGCCACCGCTGAATTGCAAACTTTCGGCAACCCGCCACCACCGTGTATGTCCCCAACGCCGCTAAGGCGGCGTGGATTAGGGCTAAACTAGATGGCTAGGACTTAAAGCAAATAAAATGAAGCTGCAGGAGATGCGGTAGCTGCTGCTCTTGAGTCGGCGGTGACAGAATTTGCCAAAAGTTTGCAATTTGGCGGTGGCTGAAGTCGCCGGAAGCTCGCATTTTAAGACGACAGAACTGAGCAACTGACACTTGACTGAGGCCCTGTTAGGGTATATTTTCCGCCCCGATAATTTACGACCATTATTCAGAGGATAGCCCAAAGTTTATATAACACTCAATTTGCCTGTAATTTTGTAGCTATGTTCCTAAATAATAAGGGGAATATAACTAACTGACACTGAAGAAAATCGTCTTTTCACTAATGTTTATTCTATTTGTGCCAGCTGACTTTGCTATCGTTGTACCCTTCACGTGAGGTACACATATCCCTCATCAAAGTTAGACTCTATAAATGACTGAAGGCCGTAAATCATGTTAGCATGCACGTAGAATAGTGCTTGGCAGCCTTGTTGTTTTCAAACAAACACTTAGTAACTCGCAAATTGCGCAAATATACTATATTTTCGGCTTTCAACCCATGTTTCTAAATGATCACGCCTGATATCAGATACAAAGAACTTGGAAGGAAGTTAAAATTGAGCGGTCAGCGTTTTACAACCCGTCAGTGGTAGATTAAAAACCTTCACTTGTTACGTGTCAGTTGAAACAAATTAGCGCATGATGCATTCCCTGGGACTCTAAGAGTTAAATGTGATGTGTTTTGAAATTGACTCCCAGACCAGCCTGCCCTAAAGTGGGTTCCAGATTATTATATGATAAATATCGTGGGAAGTCAAGGCAGCAAATGTATGTTAAACCACAGCACAGTCTAGTATCCATTGGTTTAAACAATTATAGTATTAGTATTATAGAAAGAATGGATGTAGAAGTTCTAATTAGTAGAACTACAGTTATTTCAGTAGTTTGCCATTGCTTTCTAAATGGTTAGCTCTCAACACCATTGTCAAAACCAACAGTTTATTTTTTCAATATCTGTGACCTTTAAAGTATAGGGCAGAAGACTTAAGGACTGAATCAGACCATTTGATGTCTTTGCATCATAATTAAAAGAACCCCATGTGGGTTCTAGGCTTCTTTTTGCAGAAGAAAGAATCGACCCACTGCCCCTCCCCAGCAAACGTGTCCTAGGAGATAACTAATTAGGGGTTCATCCTTTGGATTTAGGGTGCATCTGCCTGAAAGGCAAGTAACCAGCAGTATTCATGCAAATAATGCCTGATGTGTAAAATAGGTATACACACAGAATTCGGGTTTTGGAAAAAGACCAAAGTCCATGAGTGGACAAACAACCAAAACTTTTTCTGAAGTTTACAGCTGATGAATGCTGAGAAAAAGAGGTTTAGAAGAACAACTCATTATATGTGTGTATTCGTGTATGTATAACCATATTTCAACATAATGTCAGTTAAACTCATAGGAAATTGTGTGCTGTGATTCACAGATAGTCCATCCACACAGCTGCCAAGATGTCATCACCAGAAGTGGAACGCTTTGAAATGAGTGACTATGATTACAATCAGATATTTGACCCAACTGGCGCCAGGAGAAACCAAACTAAAAACCAGGCAACCTATGGTAAGACAACTGTAGTTTTAGGTTTGGCTACATTCGGCATGATTGTTCTTTACAAATCTGAGTCTGGCCTCAACTGCCTCATGCACCGCTGGTCTGTAAAGGGATCTTTACTGTTTATATTCTCTAAACTTTGAAGATCGACGTACGTTTTAGAGGGGCATGATGGTGCTCACAAGTCGGCAAGGCACGTGATGATGAATGTGATATTCTAAACTTTAAAGATCGTAGGTTCTAAAGGGACATGCTGGCGCACACAAGTCGGCAAGGCACATGATGATGATTGTAATATTCTAAACTTTAAAGATCGTAGGTTCTAAAGGGACATGATGGCGCACACAAGTCGGCAAGGCATATGATGATGATTGTGATATTCTAAACTTTGAAGATCGTCGTACGTTCTAAAGGGGCATGATGGCGCACACTAGTCAGCAAGGCACATGATGATGATTGTGATATTCTAAACTTCGAAGTTCATAAGTTGTAGAGGTGCATGATGGCGCACACAAATCGTCAAGACACATGATGATTGTGATATTTTAAACTTCAAAGATTGTACGTTTCAAAGGGACATAATGGCGCACACACAAGTCTGCAAGGCACTTGCTGATTATTGTGATATTCTAAACCATCGACTGCGTAGAAAGTAATGGCAAACTACTGAATATAACATTGCCCAGTAAAAACAGCCAGCAAATAGTGGGATTAGTTTGTAATGTCTTGTAAAGGATACACAAGTAACTTTTATTTTACAGTTATTTTGCATTCTTCATCATCTTTTTTTTCCTCCTCTTCCACTGCTTTGGGTGTCGTGAGAGATATTTCGTTCTGATTCTCACACTTGTGACTGCCTCAAGCATAGACACATTGGGCTTTTGTAGAGTGATAGGTTATAAAAGAGCCATTGTGTCTGCCTCAAGCATAGACACATTGTGCTTTTGTAGAGTGATAGGTTATAAAAGAGCCATTGTGACTGCCTCAAGCATAGACACATTGGGCTTTTGTAGAGTGATAGGTAATAAAAGAGCCAACAGACTGGCTGTATCTGCAGTAGTAAATGGAGAAAGAAGTGCAGACATAATGGATACACTGCATTCTAGAGACGTTGAGACAAATTTTCAGAAATGACGAACCGCATGTTAGAAATTGGTATTAAATGAGAATAACCATGCAGAAACTGGTTGCAGGGTGAAGAAAGAAGATATGTGTCAGCTGCTATGCTACTGGGTATGGTGAGCATGAAGATCCTGAGATTGCTGCTGCATAGGAGGACAGGGCACTATTGGGTCAGACCGATGTGCTATGATTTTCATACAGACAGCATATTACAAGTATTTCCTCTGTATTGATATTTTCACGCAATGTGTGCTGGCATTTGGGATGAAAACTGCAAATTGAAGTTTGAACAATTAATATGCCATGTGAAATGAGCGGTAAAATAAAGTGTTGTACATAATTGTTTAGTGTGGGGGGAGGGGAAGGGGATGTATGCACACATACTTACTGTCTACTGGTTAATTCTCCTCAGGTATTTGGGCAGAGAAAGAGAGTGATGATAGTGATACTGAAATGGTGGGGTTTGGAGGCAGGGGTCGCAAGAGGAAGCAGCAGGCTCCAAGTCTGGGCAGTGGGATCAGTTTTGTCAGTGGCGGGTTCAAGGAGGAGCAGAGTAAAGAGGATGAGAAAGCTGTGAGTATCACATAAGTGTTGTGTTTGATGGGATCATACACTGTTGTATTGTGTTTGATAGGATCATAAACTGTTGTATTGTGTTTGATAGGATCATACACTGTTGTATTGTGTTTGATGGGATCATACACTGTTGTATTGTGTTTGATAGGATCATACACTGTTGTATTGTGTTTGATGGGATCATAAACTGTTGTATTGTGTTTGATGGGATCATACATTGTTGTATTGTGTTTGATGGGATCATACACTGTTGTATTGTGTTTGATGGGATCATACATTGTTGTATTGTGTTTGATGGGATCATACATTGTTGTATTGTGTTTGATGGGATCATACACTTTTGTATTATGCCTGATGGAGTTATACACTGTAGTATTGTGTCTGATGGAGTTATACACTGTAGTATTGTGTCTGATAGGGTTATACACTGTAGTATTGTGTCTGATGGGGTTATACGCTGGAGAAGTGTGCCTGATGGGGTTATATGCTGTAGTATTGTGTCTGATGGTGTCATACACTGTAGTATTGTGTCTGATGGGGTTATACACTGTAGGACTGTGTCTGATGGAGTTATACACTGTAGTATTGTGTCTGACAGAGTTATAGACTGTAGTACTGTGTCTGATGGTGTCATACACTGTAGTATTGTGTCTGATGGGGTTATACACTGTAGTATTGTGTCTGATGGAGTTATACACTGTAGTATTGTGTCTGATGGAGTTATACACTGTAGTATTGTGTCTGATGGGGTCATACACTGTAGTATTGTGTCTGATGGAGTTATACACTGTAGTATTGTGTCTGATGGGGTCATACACTGTAGTATTGTGTCTGATGGGGTTATACACTGTAGTGTTGTGTCTGATGGGGTTATACACTGTAGTACTGTGTCTGATGGGGTTATACACTGGAGTATTGTGTCTGATGGGGTTATATGGTAGTATATATGGTGGTATACACTGTAGTATTGTGTCTGATGGTGTCATACACTGTAGTATTGTGTCTGATGGAGTTATACACTGTAGTATTGTGTCTGATGGAGTTATACACTGGAGTATTGTGTCTGATGGGGTTATACACTGTAGTATTGTGTCTGATGGGGTTATACACTGTAGTATTGTGTCTGATGGGGTTATACACTGTAGTACTGTGTCTGATGGGGTTATACACTTGAGTATTGTGTCTGATGGGGTTATATGCTGTAGTATTGTGTCTGATGGTGTCATACACTGTAGTATTGTGTCTGATGGAGTTATACACTGTAGTATTGTGTCTGATGGAGTTATACACTGTAGTATTGTGTCTGATGGGGTTATACACTGGAGTATTGTGTCTGATGGGGTTATATGCTGTAGTATTGTGTCTGATGGGGTCTTGACTGTAGTATCGTGTCTAATAAAGTCATACATTGTAGTTCTGTGTCTGTTGGGGGTCAGGTATTGTGCTACTATTTTTGAAAGGGTCCTACACTGAAATATTTTCCATTTCAGTGTCTGTTTTGTGGATTTTTTCCCCTAACTTCTTATCAGTATGTTACCTTTTCAGTGCCGTACTCTTTGTTTTACAAATGTTAATGCCATTGACTGACAAGAAATTGATCTTATTTTTTCATATTTTTAAATATCTTACCATTTAACAGTCATCAGTTTTTTAATATTTTTCTTGTCTTAAGTGATTTTCCAACTTTTACTGGCATATCAATTGAAATAACATTAGAATTTAAAATAAATAATTTGGTTTGAAAGCTTTAGATGATTGTCATATTTTGTGTCTGTTTTCAGGAGGAGACCTCATGGATACACAAAAAGAAAGAATCCATCAGGGAACCCCCCATGCCTCGTTATGTCAAGAGCCACATGAAAGATCAGGACAGGTAGCTCTTTTTCTTCAGCATTCTGCACCTTTGAAGCTTGTTGCTACAGAAATCACCTGCTTCCATTCATTGATTGATCTTCTCTGTACACTTGCTGGCTTCAAGTGTTTGTATGTCTGCCCAGAGAGATAGTGCTTGCTAATCTTCTGAGGGTTAACTGGCTGTACACTCTTGGTCTTCTTCCCCTACTTGAGTTTTGCATGCACATCCATTTGTCGGATCTGGTTTATCTGAAGGCTGTCTGTTAGTTCCTCAACTCTTAGACTTATCTGTTGGCTGGCTGTTAGTTCCTCAACTCTTAGACTTATCTGTAGGCTGGCTGTTAGTTCCTCAACTTTTAGACTTATCTGTAAGCTGGCTGTTAGTTCCTCAACTTTTAGACTTATCTGTAAGCTGGCTGTTAGTTCCTTAACTCTCAGACTTATCTGTAGGCTCGCTGTTAGTTCCTCAACTTTTAGACTTATCTGTAGGCTGGCTGTTAGTTCCTCAACTTTTAGACTTATCTGTAAGCTGGCTCTTAGTTCCTCAACTCTCAGACTTATCAGTAGGCTGGCTGTTAGTTCCCCAACTCTCAGACTTATCTGTAGGCTGGCTGTTAGTTCCTCAACTTTTAGACTTATCTGTAAGCTGGCTGTTAGTTCCTCAACTCTCAGACTTATCTGTAGGTTGGCTGTTAGTTCCTCAACTCTCAGACTTATCTGTAGGCTGGCTGTTAGTTCTTCAACTCTCAGACTTATCTGTAGGCTGGCTGTTAGTTCCTCAACTCTCAGACTTATCTGTAAGCTGGCTGTTAGTTCCTCAACTCTCAGACTTATCTGTAGGCTGGCTGTTAGTTCCTCAACTCTCATACTTATCTGTAGGTTGGCTGTTAGTTCCTCAACCCTCAGACTTATCTGTAGGCTGGCTGTTAGTTCCTTAACTCTCAGACTTATCTGTAGGCTGGCTGTTAGTTCCTCAACTCTCAGACTTATCTGTAAGCTGGCTGTTAGTTCCTCAACTCTCAGACTTATCTGTAGGCTGGCTTTTAGTTCCTCAACTCTCAGACGTATCTGTAAGCTGGCTGTTAGTTCCTTAACTCTCAGACTTATCTGTAGGCTGGCTGTTAGTTCCTCAACTCTCAGACTTATCTGAAGGCTGGCTGTTAGTTCCTCAACTCTCAGACTTATCTGTGAGCTGGCTGTTAGTTCCTCAACTCTGACTTATCTGTAAGCTGGCTGTTAGTTCCTCAACTCTTAGACTTATCTGTAGGCTGGGTGTTAGTTCCTCAACCCTCAGACTTATCTGTAGGCTGGCTGTTAGTTCCTCAACCCTCAGACTTATCTGAAGGCTGGCTGTTAGTTCCTCAACCTTTAGACTTATCTGTAGGCTCGCTGTTAGTTCCTCAACTTTTAGACTTATCTGTAGGCTGGCTGTTAGTTCCTCAACTTTTAGACTTATCTGTAGGCTGGCTGTTAGTTCCTTAACTCTCAGACTTATCTGTAGGCTCGCTGTTAGTTCCTCAACTTTTAGACTTATCTGTAGGCTGGCTGTTAGTTCCTCAACTTTTAGACTTATCTGTAAGCTGGCTGTTAGTTCCTCAACTCTCAGACTTATCAGTAGGCTGGCTGTTAATTCCCCAACTCTCAGACTTATCTGTAGGCTGGCTGTTAGTTCCTCAACTCTCAGACTTATCTGTAGGTTGGCTGTTAGTTCCTCAACTCTCAGACTTATGTGTAGGCTGGCTGTTAGTTCCTCAACTCTCAGACTTATCTGTAGGCTGGCTGTTAGTTCCTCAACTCTCAGACTTATCTGTAGGCTGGCTGTTAGTTCCTCAACTCTCAGACTTATCTGTAGGCTGGCTGTTAGTTCCTCAACTCTCATACTTATCTGTAGGTTGGCTGTTAGTTCCTCAACCCTCAGACTTATCTGTAGGCTGGCTGTTAGTTCCTTAACTCTCAGACTTATCTGTAGACTGGCTGTTAGTTCCTCAACTCTCAGACTTATCTGTAAGCTGGCTGTTAGTTCCTCAACTCTCAGACTTATCTGTAGGCTGGCTTTTAGTTCCTCAACTCTCAGACATATCTGTAAGCTGGCTGTTAGTTCCTTAACTCTCAGACTTATCTGTAGGCTGGCTGTTAGTTCCTCAACTCTGACTTATCTGTAAGCTGGCTGTTAGTTCCTCAACTCTGACTTATCTGTAGGCTGGGTGTTAGTTCCTCAACCCTCAGACTTATCTGTAGGCTGGCTGTTAGTTCCTCAACCCTCAGACCTATCTGAAGGCTGGCTGTTAGTTCCTCAACTCTCAGACTTATCTGTAGGCTGGCTGTTAGTTCCCCAACTCTCAGACTTATCTGTAAGCTGGCTGTTAGTTCCTCAACTCTCAGACTTATCTGTAAGCTGGCTGTTAGTTTCTCAACTCTCAGACTTATCTGTAGGCTGGCTGTTAGTTCCTCAACCCTCAGACTTATCTGTAGGCTGGCCATTTTTTCCTTAACTCTCAGACTTATCTGTAGGCTGGCTGTTAGTTCCTCAACTCTTAGACTTATCTGTAGGCTGGCCATTTTTTCCTTAACTCTCAGACTTATCTGTAGGCTGGCTGTTAGTTCCTCAACCCTCAGACTTATCTGTAGGCTGGCTGTTAGTTCCTCAACCCTCAGACTTATCTGTAGGCTGGCTGTTAGTTCCTTAACTCTCAGACTTATCTGTAGGCTGGCTGTTAGTTCCTCAACTCTCAGACTTATCTGTAGGCTGGTTGTTAGTTCCTCAACTCTCAGACTTATCTGTAGGCTGGCTGTTAGTTCCTCAACTCTCAGAGAGATGCATTCCAAATTTGAAGAAAACTACCCTAATTAGTCACCTGTTATGACATGATAGGGGAGCAGTGGATCTTCCCCCAACCCACCCCAGGACCTCATAATCTACTTGGGGAATGCTTTTATGTGAATGAATGAATGCCACCCTAGTTCTTTAAATCCTGTGTGCTTCCAGGGCCATAAGAACAGTTTTCTACAATAGACCATTTATGTATCAAACAGTGTTAGAAGTGTGGCTAAGCTTCATCATCATCAATCAGAACATGGCTGTCATCACGGCATGCCTGCAAGTCTCTCTTTCTCTATCCAACTCTCCAGCCCTATTTGCTTTTATAGCCAATGCATCTTTAATGTCCTGTATCCACCTTCGAGAGGTCGGCTTCTGCCTCATTTCTTGGAAACTACCCTCCATCGCTGTTCTCTCCAGACCACCTTGTGCTTGACTTGTCTAAAATATGTCAGCAGCTTTAAGAAGAGGATGCTGTTTATAAGCCAGTTCCCATTGATGTTGGTGTCGTGCAGGATGTTGACATGTTTCATCTTGGTTCACAATATTCTAAGAACCTTTCTGTAGCATTTCAGTTCAGAACCTATGATTTTCTTCTTCAGAGACTCGGTGAGAGTTCACACTTCGCATCCATAAGTTGTCATGGCAAAGATGCATGATCTCAACATGTTCACTTCAACTTGCTTGCAGGCTAAGCACCAGCAAGGAAGTCAGCGTCAAATGTTTGAGAGCCTGCATCCTCCCTGTGGCAGTATATAAATGTCAGTCCTGGAGCATGTTGTAAAATGGAGTTGTGTGTTATCCCAAGTCTTTTCAACTTACATACACATACACAAATTTAAAACAAGTCGAGAAATTGCCTGGACTGAATATTAATAGAAGAACAATCAACAATCTGATATATACTGATGACACAGGGCTAATAGCAGAAAGCCGGCAGGCGTTACAAAAATGGAACAACTCACTAACTCGGTCCCAAACATGATTTATTCGCTGTTCATTCATCCTTTCTAAACTTTCCCACGCCCAACTCTTGTCACAGGTTTGTCCGGTTATTTTGTTTTGTGTGGTTGCGGGCGATGAACAGGGCACCGTTGCTTTTCTGGAGCAACACAGCGTTTTGGGGACCACCGCAAAATGTTAAAAAGTCTTAAATCCACCGGGCGTAGAATGCACTCTCTCGTGGGACTTAGGTTGAAGCTGTCCCCCAGGGGGTAATGAGTTAGGGCCAGTTGTAGATGTTATTGGTTCATTAAAAGTGGCGGTAACATCATGTAGTATGGAATGCGGGATATGGCCAGTGATAGTGTAGGAGACTATGCAACCTGACACTCCCTGTAAGAGGAAGTCACACATGTCAAAGGTTAAGACACATCAGTGAATGGCCAATCGTGGTGTCCTTGGGCCAGAAAACATGAGTTGTGCAAGACTAGTGGATCAGGTCAATAGGCAGAGTTTGGTTTAGACGTTAACATTCAATCAACAAAAACTGGTAATTAACAATGGAAAAGAGCAGCCAACAGGTGAAGATATTAGTCTCGCTATAAACCAAATAATGCGCCAGGCGGTCTTTTTAAGGATGAACACGAAGAAATTTGAGAATCCTTCTGTTTTCTCTTTGCCACCTGTTAACACATTTTCCGTTGTTATCCCCAATTCCTTTCTCTTCCTCTATATTTCTATGTTGTTTGAATGTCTTTGTATATTTCTTTCTTTCTTATGGCTTTGGCGATTCTTCCAGCTTTTTTCTTACACACTTGTTACATCTTGTACTGACAAAACTTTTATTTGTTGTTTCATTTCAGAGAGTTTGGTTCCTGGGAGAAACACACAAAAGGAATAGGACAAAAACTTCTTATGAAGGTCAGTATCATGAGGCCCTAGCTAATATTCGGTTATACTATCTGAACTCTGATTACCAAACATTTTTATCTGTTTTCTAATTACCAACATCCAACATTATCATCTACCCTCATATTACCAGTATCAGCATCACCATTTGCCGTTCAGAATCCAATATTCTTTATGAATAAATATTTTATAATTTCAAGAACCAAACATATGCTCTCGTATTCCACTATTTACCATCATCATATGTCTAATTTCTCACATTCAGCACTATATGTTATCATCCAATAGAGCTCCTATCAGTATTATCTGTAATGATCTTTACATTTGTTAATCTCAGCCCAGTTATCCACAAACAAAATTTACGAGGGAAAATAAAAAAAAAATTGGTAAAAAGAAAGTCTAGACGATAATACTATATGAAGACCATTTATTTTTACACATACGCTGTCCCTTTATTTTTTCAACATAATTTCCACTAACATTGATGCACTTATCCTATTGTTTCATCGGTCCTCCCAAACTTTCTGCATAGAACTGCATGCTCTGTTTTCTAAACCACATTTTCACTTCACATTTCACTTTTGCATATTCATGAAATGTCTCCTGCCAAGGTGGGTTTTCAGTTGACCAAAAAGGTGGAAATCGCACCCTATTGCAGCTGCTACAGAGTCAACCGTTACTCTCCTGTCGCCTCTTATCATCCCCTTCATCTGCTGCTAGGATGTGTCTGTTGCAGTCTCAACAGGACGCCCAGATAGGTCATCATCAACAATTTTAGATCAACCTTGAGAACATTTTGTTTACCCAGCTATTCACTTTACCATTTGTCAGCATAAACAGGAAGCATTTCCTTGTGAATGTCCTTTTGCAGGCAGTCCTATAAAAAAAAATCACACACAAAACACAGCAGCACGTTTTGTTCTTTGAGGGCACGCTCCATAAGTACAGTCGTGCTTTTGTTTCTATGTTACGAACGCGCATCCATACCTAGCGCCAACTAACGAACGGAGATTAAATGTTTGATGTTGCTGTCACCTAATGGTACACCTACATTTTCCTGCCATCCCATAACCATTTGTGACTTACTTATTGAGTTCCTCTCATAAAAAAACCTCTCATTCAGGGCAAGACACAGAAAACCAGAAGACTTGACTTACAGGACTACTTGTAACTGTGTGACAGAAAACCCCAAAAAATTAAGTCTTACCTTATTATCATTTTTATCATCAGTCATCTAGTTATTTGTATGTCTGTAAACACTATGTGTGTTAAGTTTTTATTTTTGACACTGTGCCTGCCTGTAAACATTCTTTGAGGGTTAAAGTTTAGTTGCTGAAACTACTTGCCTGTAAACATTCTTTCAGAATTAAAGTTTAATTTGTGACAGTATCTGCCTATAAACAGTCTGGGAACTGTGATTTTAGTTTGGACACTTGTTGCGGGCACCTTTCAGTTTGTCCAGATGATGTTTTAATGGACTTTAAGATAGATTACAGGCCATGGTGATATAAGACCAGGGGTGAAGTTTCTTCTCTCTGTAGCACAAAGTCTGTTCATTCTTGTAGAGACTGTATGTTGCCGATGTATCATGATCCCTTTCTCAGCATCCTTTGGTAACTCCAGAGGAATGATAACACTAGTTTTTCTGAAACAAAGCACGTTGCAGGGGCTACTCGAATAGAAGAACAGTGCTGTCTGTCCACCTGTTGGAGCTTCCCTCCTTGACCAGCTGCCAGCCAAGGCTAAGAACATGGTCTGCTTTTGATACTGTCATCATCATTCTTGTCCTGTTATGTCATTATATGTCACTTATGGCTTGCAGTATATTCCTCTGTGCCTTACTGACCTTTGGATATGGATGGAATCCAGCCCAGAGCCCTTGGCTTTTCTCATCAGCATTTGTTTTACTGTTTCTTTTGGACATTCTCGCCTCATCAATCTTGTTATTTGCCATTGTAGTGCCTGCTTGGTGATTCTCTGCTGGTTTACTTTAGGATGTGTCCAATATACATACATACTGCTACCTGGCTATAAACATTCTATAGCCATCAAACATTAACTTTACCCTCTAGCATATCATTTTAAGGCTTAAAAATTTTTTAACTTTACCTTCCTGTGTAAAATTTAACTTTACCATGTTGTAAATTCTGTAAGAGAAACATTGACTGTTGACCCCACCACATAAAATGCTTTAAAATTTTTCTTAGATGGGTCACAAACCAGGGGAAGGACTTGGGAAGAAAGGACAGGGCATCATTAAGCCTGTAGAAGCTTTCCTACGTAAGGGCAGGGGAGCTGTGGGGGCCCACGGGAAAGAGAGGACAGAAAAATCCATAAAGGATTACCCAGTCAAAGATGAGGAGGCGGAAGAGGAGAAGGAGTTTCAGAAAGAGTTGTCGCAGTGGAGGAAGCAATCAACAGAGGTAAGTGACTTCATCTACTACTTCAATTTGATTTGTTCATTTACCATGGTTTTTTTTCCATTTACCCTTAAAAGGGCGGTTGGCAGGTTTTGATGTGGTGTGCAGATTAGCTGTGATATCTGCTTCTTTTGACCCAACGCATCTTATTTCAACAAGCCCCTGATTGGTCACTATATACAACATGCTTGTGTGGGAGAGGGGGCGGGGGCAGAGCAGGTCTCTTTTCCTGTCCCTATCCTCAACAGTTTTCTTGCTGAAGAGTTAATTTTGTCCCTGTGATTGTGTTTCATTGTTGGAGATTTTGTATGCTGTTGAAGGTTTTCTTGCTGCAAAGTTAATTCTGTCCCTGTGATTGTGTTTCATTGTTGGAGATTTTGTATGCTGTTGAAGGTTTTCTTGCTGCAAAGTTAATTCTGTCCCTGTGATTGTGTTTCATTGTTGGAGATTTTGTATGCTGTTGAAGGTTCTCTTGCTGCAAAGTTAATTCTGTCCCTGTGATTGTGTTTTATTGAGAAGCTAACTGGTTGTGCTTCTTGTTTAGATTGATGTTTTCAGAATAGAGTGGGGGATCATAGATATCATAGGTTGGTTCTTTGATGGTTGTATAACAGTGGCAACATACGACACTCAGGACACACTTATAGGAGCTCAGTCTTACTCAGCACATAATGAAATAGGAACATACTGTTTGAATGTGTCATCCTCATAATCTAGCAGGTCACTTACAGAACACTGTTCCCATTGCTGGCCCACCTCAGAAAGTCTGTCCTTTGTCACTTCTTTAGCCTTTTGTATTTCCACCCATTTCTGTGGCTTAGGGGTTGCAAACAGCCCCCCAAAAAAGACAAAAATGCTGGGGTTGGTTCTGCAACATCCTGTAAAGGATATGCAACCATCTTTAACTATTATTTTCACAATAGATAATTTTTAATCTTTTTATGCAATATTTTTTTTTCTATATGATATTTGTCTCACAGTAGATTTTTAATTTCTAGGCATCGAAAAAGAAGCCTAAATATGTTTATAAGACAGCCCAAGAAGTACTGGAGACAGGAGGGAAGCGACGGAAGCCAGTTGTTGACACTGGGCCAAGGGTCAAGGTGATTGATATGACAGGCAGAGAGCAGCGAGTCTTGTCAGGTAAGGTCAAGACATTGATAATTTCAGTATGCGAGAGTCTTTAACAATATTCGACAGCCTGACTGCTAACAACCGAAACGTGTTTTTCTTTTCTTCATCGTGTTGTTGGGGTCTAAAGCAGACATCAGCAGTCATGACATTCAAGTTCTGTCCATCATATTTTATGATGAAATTATGTTGACATCATTTGTTTAAGCATCTCTGTATATTCTCCTTTATTTTTCTTCTACCTCACTTGAGCATTTTTTTTCTACACATAACCAATTGTGTCTTTAGCTACTCTGTTGTTGGTATGACTTGTACAGTCTGGAGTAAGAAGGAATGAATGAGCAGACTGGCTGGCTGGCACTAGGTACAGGAAAAGCAAAAAACCTGGCGGATGTTCTCAGTGCTCTTAGGGAGGCAGGACAAGTGGATCATTCAATAGAAGACAGCGAATTGGCAATCTTGACAAAACTACAAGAACAAACGAGTGAACAGTGTGGAGACATAAATAGATCTCTACAGTCTGAGGAGAATGGGGCTGCGAGAAGTTACAGGATGATCTAGTCGACGCCGGCTCAGCACGCAAGGGAAAGACGAGACGGATATACAGTCAGACAGTTACTTGCTAATGATAGAAACAGCACTTATTGGAGTGTCCTAGGTCCTGTGATGTCGATTCTTAAATCTGCATTCTAAATTCAACATTCTTCAAGAACTTTATGTCAGAAAGGGTGTCGCCAGACATGAACACTATACGGGTTAAGGGACATTTGTCTCTTGAAGAGTGAATTACCCACTTTGGTCCAGGAGCCCTATTTTGGGTATAAAAGAATGGACCTACTGTAAATTGATTTTGTTCGCAGTCTAGCTGCAAACCATAACGCAGTATGCCAGCTGTCCTTCTGAAGGCAAATGAAGAAGAACAAGCTTAGTGACTGTTAACTTCTACAGCACTCAACACCTTTTTCATTCTACAGCACTTGACACCTTTTTCATTTTACAGCACTCAACACCTTTTTCATTTTACAGCACTCGATACCTTTTTTAATTCTACAGCACTCGACGCCTTTTTTTTTATTCTACAGCACTCGACACCTTTTTTTTATTCTACAGCACTCGACACTTTTTTCATTCTACAGCACTCGACACCTTTTTCATTCTACAGCACTCAACACCTTTTTCATTCTGCAGCACTCAACACCTTTTTTCATCTTCTTTCTTATAAAAAAAAAATAAAAGCTCTAATTTCTTTACTCTTTTATTGTCTATTGTCAGCATTAGTTTCCATACATATAAGACCACTACAGACAGCCTTCCATTAAGCAGCTTTTCTCTACTCATAATATCTTTATTGTTTAATAAATGTTGATCGGTGCAGGCATCTATCTGTCTTCTGTTTCTTTCCTACACACATACATATGCACACATATATATAAACTCAAAGGCATGGATATACATGGTGAGACAGAGAAAGATTGGTAAGAGCACATGCTTTAGGTTCTAAAACATGTTGGTGTTTGTAGTTACTGTTTTCTGGACATTTGTTTTTCAAACCAGGATACCATGCTATTGGGAAGAGCCATGACCAGCCAGATGAAGCAGAGGAGCTATTGAAACCAGAACCAGAAAAGAAACGAGTGTTCAGCATGCCAGAACTGATGCACAACCTCAGTTTGCTGGTGGAGATGGCAGAAGATGAGATCATCCACAACGACCGCAAGCTGCGGCAGAGTCGTGACCAGATAGTTAACCTGGAGCATGAGCAGGATCGCCTGCAGACGGTCGTGTCCCAGGAGGGCCAGCAGCTGGAGAGACTGCAAGTTGTCATGGATCTTGTGAGAAGGTTGCCACTTTGTACTGTTGTCAATAACTTTAGACATTTATGTAGTTACATCCAGTAGGTTGTGTATAACAGCTAGAATTTCCTTTAAAGTCAGAGTGCATCTGCCTCAAAGGCAAAGAACCAACAGTCTGCATATAAATAAGCCAGGTCTGCAGAATATATGTGCATGCAAAGCTGAACTTCAGGAACAAGACCAAAGTCCAGAAGTGGACAAACAACAAGAACTTTCTTCAATCATTTACAGCCTGTGAACACCAAGAAGAAGAAGACTTGCAGTTTAGTGTCAGTGATAACTGTGAACTCAGCATGTGTATTGTCTCCAGCTGTTTAGTGTCAGTGATAACTGTGAACTCAGCATGTGTATTGTCTCCAGCTGTTTAGTGTCAGTGATAACTGTGAACTCAGCATGTGTATTGTCTCCAGCTGTTTAGAGTCAATGTTAACTGTGAACTCAATATGTGTATTATCTTCAGCTGTTTAGAGTCAATGTTAACTGTGAACTCAATATGTGTATTATCTTCAGCTGTTTAGAGTCAATGTTAACTGTGAACTCAATATGTGTATTATCTTCAGCTGTGAGGAGAGGACACAACCAGGCTGTCCTAACCCCCTGACACTCGACTCCTGTGCTGAGATGTTCAAGATGCTGCAGCATGAATACTATGAGGAGTACAAGATCTATGACATGCCTTCGCTGGCTATTGCTCTGGTCTTTCCCCTGGTGAGTGCTGTATTGTTCACATGGAACCTGCAAGTAAATGGTTTAGCTCTCTGCTGCTTGTGACCTTATTCATGGGAAAGGTGTCTTTATCTTCCTTTTATTTTGTTCTTGCATTACATTACAGTTTGATCCCTCTGGTACTGCAGTCCGCACAATTAACACCGCAAGGATGAGAAGCCTACCAATTTTCGTAAGAAATTAGGAAAATCGTCAGACAATGTATCCAGCACTGAGAGCATAGATCCTGAAAATGAAAACAGCAACAGGCAAAGGGAGAGAACTAAAAGAAGATGGATTGAAGGAGTCGCTAACAATCTAAGACTTAACAGTTATTGAACTGAGCAGATCATGATATTGCCAGACTGACCAGCACTTTTGTCTAGCCATTGAATTCAGTTGTCTTCCTTTCTGATGATCATGATCTGCCATCCAAGTTTTACTGTCACTGAAAGAATTGTCTCATGTTTTTACCACAAACTGTTCGCACCAGGATTTAAACTGAACAGTTATGTAGTTAGTCAGGCACATCTTGAGGTTACTGCAACCCCCACATCTAATTATGAAATGTAAATTCTGACATAAATTTTCAGATGAAAAAGTTTTTTGAAAGTTGGCTGCCATTGCGAGACCCTGAGTACGGCCTTCACACTGTTCTGGAATGGCAGTTGCTGCTGGGCTCTGACGAGAGTGCCATGATGTCACAAGACAGGGGTCACAGTCTGGCCAGCATGGATGTCTATCAGAGGCTCATCTGGGATGTCTGGCTGCCCCCTGTTAGGGCTACCATTCTGTAAGTGACCCAGGTTGCTGTGTTAATACATCTGTTTCTTCATGTTTACTGTTGCAGTCTGTGTGCATCTCCTTTAAGTGTGTGCCATGTAGCATTGGTAGTCCTGTCTTTTCATAATCTTCTGTCTCATTTACTTCAGCGAGTTCTGATACAGATGATCTTCCATGCCATGAGGTAAAACTGCCCAGCATCTTCTCTCTCGGTCTCCCTCAACATCTGCTATGTGCTGCCAGAGTTGAAAAGTGACTAAAGTATACATTACCTCCACGCCCCAAGGTAGCATAGGAAAGACTAGAAAAGATCAGTACATTACCTCCACACCCAAGGGTAGAAGAGGAATGTTAAATTAGGAATCGACATCACAGCACTTGGGACACCCCCATAAGTGCTCCGTCCCCATCTTCAGCAGCAAGCCAAGAGTTCAAATTCTGATGGCACCAGTAACTGACTGTATATCCGTCTCGCCCTTTAACTCCTCGCAGCACCATTCTCCCTTGATCATAATGATCTATCTGTACCTCCGCACTATTCAATCTCTTCCAAATAGCTCTCACAATATCCATCTTCTCGTACATCAGTTCCTACCAAGCAGTACAGAACCGGCCAGTCTATCTACCTGCTCATTTCTCAAAACACCGGCATCACTTGGAGAAAATATCTGCATTGTGCTAATATAGAATAGAAAAGATCAGTACATTACCTCCACACTTCAGGGTAATAAAGGAGAAACTAGAAAAGACCAGTACATTACCTCCACACTTCAGGGTAATAAAGGAGAGACTAGAAAATACCAGTGGTGTACTAATAAGAGTCAAATGTTTATACAACCAATGTGTCCTGGAACGGCCAGCATTTACACCTTGAGACATTTGATGTGAGAAAGGGAGCACCTGCGGGAATGCCTTGTGTGCTTTGATGTCAGTTCTTAATCCTTTTGCCCCAACAGCCACAAAACCATCACTTCAAGTCCATCAGTTCAGTTTCCCGTAGATGCCACTTATCTGACTTGTCTACAGTCGCATGTTTATGGGACGCACAGTTAAGGCTGTTAGCTAAGTCCTCCTCTGTGCAAATGTTTAGGGAGTCAAGATATAGATATATAAGCTAACAATAGGATTTAGGGGTTTTTCCTCTATACCAATTAGCTTAGAAGCAATGTCATGTTAATGTGAAATTTTCCCATAGGCCTCAGTGATAAAGGTTCTGGTATCACAGGATGACCAATACATATTGTTTTCTAGGCCCTGGGGAATGTCTTCTATTTTTTAACCCACTCTGTTCATGTTAATTAAATGTCAAGTTAATTATATGTCTTCTATTTAATTCTTCTTCTTCAATTTCACCAGCTGTAAACTCTGGCGGAAAGTTTTGGTTGTTCATCCACTTCTGGATTACAGTTGTGTTTGAGAACCTGAGTGTTGTGTGTAAATCTGTTTTACAGATCTGACTCATTTGTATGCAGACTGTTGGTTTCTTGCCTCTCAGGCAGATGTAATCTAACTTGAAAGAAAACTCCCAATTAATCAATTCTTGTGACAGGCTGTTGGGTTGGCAGTGGGTCTATTCTTGTTTTCCCCACAATAGGGTCCAGAACCCACAAGAGGATTGCATTCAGTTGATTACTCCCTTCATATATCTTATTCCCCTCCCACCCTCACCCCAATTTTTGTTTTTTGAATGTCTAAAAAAAAAACCGGCTATCTTCCGAATAACGGTCCCAAATTATTAAGGCCGAAAATATATCCTAACAGGGCCTCAGTCACATGTCAATTGCGGACTTCGGGGACTATACTGCCACCGCCGAGAGTATCTCCCACGCTGCTGGGGCTAAACTAGATGGCTGAGACTCACGAGCAAATAAAATGAAGGAAGCTGCAGGAGATGTGGTAGCTGCTGCTCTTGAGTCCCAGCCATCTAGTTTAGCCCCAATCCACGCCGCGGCGTGGGAGACACTCTCGGCAAAAGTCGACTTAAAGTCGATTTGATGCAAATAGGAGAGAAAGGAGTATGAAAGCAACAATGAAATTAATAATCTGTGTAAATCATCACTAATTGCTGGCATCATGAGGGCTAATAGACTGAAATGGTAAGGTCAAATAGAAAGAATGCTGGAGACAATTTCGATCTGAATAGGAATAGAGCGGGAGGTAGACCAAGAAGATAGTGGAGAGATAATATACAGATGAACATACAACTACTTTTAATTACCAACTTGAAAGAGAAGACCAGTTGCAGAAATGAATGAATGCAATTCATATCTGCAGCAGTGAATTTCATGGGCTCAGAATGCTGAAGAAGAAGAAGAAGAAGAAGACCTTGTCTTATGTTGTGACCAAGCAGAAACAGCCTACTTAATTTGTAAATGCTCAAAACATTTTCTTGTTTATTATCTTTTGGCAACAGGAAATGGCGAGTACGAGACACAGATCCCATGATCGCGTTACTGGACACATGGAAGCCAGCATTACCTCCCTGGGTGCTGGAGAACATCCTGGACCAGCTTGTGTTGCCCTTGTTGCTGCAGGAGGTGGAGAACTGGAACCCTCTGACAGATACCACACCCATACATTGTTGGCTGCATCCATGGCTTCCTCTGATGGGTGAGTTTAATAGAAACAGACAGAAACCATGGAATTGTCTTAAAGATTAGTTTTCATATCTCATCTGTTTCTCCTGGTTTCCATTTTGCCTTGCAGAATAGGGAGATCTAATCATTATAGTTCTGCTTTTGTTTGTGAATTCTCAGGACAGCTCTCTCATCCCGAGAAGGCTAAATCTAGTCACTTCAGGTCGTGACACAGCTTCTATAAAACGAAAATATTGCCATTTCTCCAGTGACCTGCTCTTGAAAAACACAGTAAAGTGCTGTTGGTTCTGTTTGCACCTGTGTAGTAGTGTTTGGGAGCCTGAAATAGGAATATATTGACTTAATATAGCATAGAAGAGTTTGCTTGTGTAACCAATAGATGTTTTAAAGACAGCATGACTTACAAATTTCTCATACGCTTCAGTGATAGAGGTCACAAGGTCAGGCCTGAATCACTCAATACATATTTGTTTTAGTTCCTGGGGACTGCATTCCATTTAACACTTCACTTTTTTCTTTTCTATGTATTACAGAACATAAATTTAACTTAAGAATAGCAAAAAAAAAAAAAAAGCTGTTTTTAAACAATTTATTTAGTTACAATTGTATAATTACCAGCACCTTCTGTCAACATAGAGCTTCACAAGTTTTTACATGGTAGACATGAAATGATCCAGATACTAGGAGTCAGATTGATTACATCTTGATGAGAAAAAGATACTTTCACGAAGTTACAGATTTGAGAGTTATACCAAGCTTGAGTTTAGATAGAGATCATAGGATGGTGATACTTGACAGAAAAGTCCAGATAAGTTATTAAACAAGAAAGAAATGTCATAATAAAATGGAAAGAACTAGAATTTGAGGAAAATAGGCGAGCATTTCAGCAAAAATTACAGGAAAATTTGAACTGCTACTACAAAACACACTTGGGGTAAATACAGAATGGGTGAACTTCAGGGACAACCACTATTAAAATTGCACAAGAAATATGTGGAACTAAAAGGAAAGGCAGCATAGGGCGTAAGCTCTCAACATGGTGGTCTGAAATAAGAAGAATTGTGAGCAATAAAAAGAAAGACTATGGCATTTGGCTAAGGAGCAGAACTGAAGAGGATTACATAACATACAGGAAAGTTAGAAGAGAAGTAAATATAATAATCAAACAAGTCAAAAAGAGATTCATGGGACAAGTTTGGAAACAAGCTTGCTGAAGAAGAAAGAACAGCAGTGAAAAACTACAAAAAAAAAAATCAAAGGCATAAGAAAGAGGAATGAAGAATAGAACCAAACAGAAATTATAAATAATGAAGTAAGCAAACCTTTAATAGTACCAAACAAAATTTTAGCAAGGTGGAGTAATTATTTTAAATCATTACTTAGCTGCAATAAAACGACGAAAGCAGGGAAGAACATAAAAACAACTCAGAACTAACGCAGAGGATCTAGAACCAGGTATATTATTAGATGAAGTAGAATATGTCATTCATACTGCCACTAGACTTAAGGCGACAGGTATTGATGATCTACCAGCTGAGGACATCAAGGCAGCAGGAGAAGCGGGAGCAATATGGTTAAGGAGAATACCTCTACATTCCAGAGTCTGCAAGATTAAACTGTTAGCTACCTCTACCTCCCAGAGTAGGCACGACTAGAATGTATAGTACCTCTACCTTCCATAGCAGGCATGATTGAACTAAACTGTTTATTATATTTACATCCTAGAGTAGGCAAGACAAGACTGTAAGATACATTTACATCCCAGAGTAGGCAAGACTAGACTGTATAGTGCCTCTACATTCAATAGTAGGCAAGATTACACTGTTTAGTACCTTTACACCCCAGAGTAGGCAAGATTAGACTGTTCAGTACCTGTACATCCCAGAGGAGACAAGACTAGACTGTAGGGTACCTCTAACTTCTGAACAAAGAAGGAAAATCCAAACATGGCTGGGATAAGATGAAAGAACGACTCCGTGAATGATAGAATTTCATATTGTACTTTTGTTTTCCTTGCATATCAACAGGCGATAAACTAGAGCCCTTGTATGCACCCATTAGACACAAAATTGCCAGTGCTCTCACAAGCTGGCACCCATCAGATGTCTCAGCCAAGATCATCCTGGAGCCGTGGCATGGGGTCTTCCGTCCGGGCCACATGAGTGCTTTCCTGGTGAAGAACATCTTGCCTAAGTTGGAGCTAGAGATGCAGAACCTGACCATCAACCCTCATCAACAGTTTCTGGGTAAAATATTACATCACTTAAGAGGCAGTCAGCCGAAATCAGCAGTTTGTAGGCAAAATGTTAAGCAGATGTATCCACATCGTATATAACCACATCACTGTTTGTGTATCTAAATGTAGAATACTTGCTACTTAAACCTCTACATCATGTTTTAGGCAATATTTATTTATCTGAACAGAGAGAACATAACATGTCCATACCATTCATACATCAGTAGTAGATTTACAGAGCACTTTATGATGGTTGACAAACACTACATTGTGCTTCACACTCACTTAGTTAGGTGCCATCCCTCACAGGCATTGGTGGCCGCAATGTATCTCTAACACTTCCTGTCCCTCCTCCTGATAGTACACACTCTAAAACTGTTGTCCTTCCATCATTTTTGTTATCCTCTCATTTCTTTCGCTGTCTCTCTCATGCTGATTTGCCTTCAGCTTTTCCTTCCAGTGTGGTGAAGAAACAGAGAGATTTCCGGATAACCGCTGGTGTCTACACTTGTAAGAGCAAGATAATAGCGATTAAATTGAGGATATCCCGAGAAATGGAGAGAGAAACCATGTGAAGAATGTCAATGAGAGATGCCAACAGTGCTGGATCAGTATTCCATCAATGGCATTGTAAAGATGGCACAAGATAGAACAGAATGGAAGAATAGACCGCTAGCCCTAAGTGATGTTTAGCCAGCCAGCATTGATTCTGGTTTGTTTTAAGAGTGTTATGTTTTTTGGGGGCTGCCATGGTGTAGTGCAGGGCTATTCAACCGACGGCCTGCAGGCCAGATTTGGCCCATGGAAGCCTAGCAAGTGGGCCGCGGTTCAGTGCCTATTGTATTATTGCTAGGGCTCAGTCTTCTGGCCCAAGGCAATCCATATTTTAAACATGGCCCTTTGTAAACTTAATTGAATAACCGTGGTGTAGTGGCTAGGTGCTCACCTGAAAATCTGAAGGTCATGAGTTCATGTCCCAATGGAGCCAGACTTTTCAAAACTGGCCTTGGTTCCTAGGTCAGCCCAGCCTCAAATTGGTACCAGGTAGTGTCCTGGGAAGTAAAGGCATCCCCATGATGCTGACCACATTACCCACTGAATGCCAGTTGGTCCACAATATGAGTCTAGCCCTATGTGCCTAATACACCTAAAGGCATGGAAAAGGGCCCTTTGTCTTTAAGTGTGACAGACATATTTCATGTGTCTCATTTGTATATCCTCCTGTAGATCATCTAGAGATGGTTCTAATGCTGACGGTTTGACTGTGTGTCCTGCAGATTCCTGGAGGTGGGTGATGTCCTGGAAGGACCTGATGCCTGTGCAGGCCCTGGTAGGCATGCTGGAGAAAGCTTTCTTCCCCAAGTGGCACCAGGTGCTTCTGGCCTGGCTGACCAACCTGCCCAACTATGAGGACATCACCAGGTGGTACCTGGGCTGGAAGGCTCAGTTCCCAGAAAACCTCATTGGTCATCCACTTATCAAAGGTAGGACTTTTTATTTTAACTTTTTTTAACCCATTGTTGTCTTGGGTTATTTATGACATCAACCATAAATAGCTAAGTGGGTGCTTCAGACTTCTCTATGGTAATTGTCCTGGGAGAGTGAAATACCTAAACCTGAAGAGAAAACTGACCAACCTAGGCCTGATACCTGCCAGTCTGTGGGTGCTTATATCAGGATCTGGTTATCTACTAACAGACCTTTCTGCAGAGGCAGCTTCCAGCCTGATATTGTACAATGGTTTCTATATATGCAGGTTTTTTCCTGGCAGTATGCATTTTAGGCTTAACTGGTGTTCTTTGGATAATTTCTTTGCAGATTCTGCACCAAGGGGTGGTGAATTTATATATTTAAGCTAGATGTCATTAAGACATTTGGGAGTTAATAGTGCAGAGGCGTGAATCAATTCTTATGGTTTGGAGAGAATTGTAAAGCTGGCAGTGACCAGGGGATCTGGTTGACACTCTACACTCAAAGGCGGTTGCAAGATGGACATATTCAAATGTTACTTGCACCATCAGAATAGGGACTCTTTACTGGCTCCTGAAGATGAGGACAGACCACTTATGGGAATGTCCCAAGTGTTGCCAGATCAACACTCAACTCAACTTTGTATATAATTTTGCTAGCACCACAGCAATAGACACTTTGTGATGAGTAACAGCATCTTGTTTTCTAGAGAATAAGAAAAGGTCATGTAAATATGTATTATTATGATTTATATAGAGACTAACAAGTTAACTGATTTTATGTTTTTATCAAAGGAGTCACAAAACTAAATGTTAATTATATTTGTGCTGTGTTGCTGCATTTGTGGTCTATTGTTTGTTTTTGTGGTATATTGTATTTGTGGTCTATTGTTTGTTTTTGTGGTCTATTGTTGGTTTTTGTGGTCTATTGTGTTTGTGGTCTATTGTTGGTTTTTGTGGTATATTGTGTTTGTGGTCTGTTGTTGGTTTTTTTGGTACATTGTATTTGTGGTCCATTGCTGCATTTGTGCCCTATTGTTAGTTTTTGTGCTCTGTTATATTGTTCCAATGTTTTATTCTCATAGTTGTATTTTATATACATATAGTTGTAAATTTTTATTACTCCATTTATATGTGTAATTATGTGTACTCCAATCTTGAATAATTAAGGTCACTTAGACAAAGAATTTTAAAAAGCTTACTTTGTTAACTACAGTGTTATTTGTGTTTGGTCCTGACTCATTTCAATATTGTAACTATAAAATCCATCACACAGTCATTGAACACTAACTAAGTCAATTATTGTCCAATTCCTGGCTTGTTCAGAGCAGTTCAACAAGGCCCTGGAGACGATGAACCGAGCGGCATCAGGTGCCTTTGTTCCAGGTATCAAGGAGAATATTGCCTACTTTACGCTGACAGAAAAAAGGCGAATACTGGACTCAAGAGCCCCAGCAGGACAGCAGACATCAGCTGGTGACATTGAGGTATGTTGTTTCTCCTGTCAGCTCTTTACCATCTCATGCAGCGATCTCATAGGCAGCTAGCCGTTCTGCAGAGAGAAAGACCAGGCCATATGGGATAAAATCCAATTCAGTGAAGTCGATCATCTCGACTTTCATTTTAACTTATGCAACATTCCTATTAGAAACCATTTGTTTGTGTGTACAACGTCCTTGTGTGATTTCTTCTCCTGCCATCTAGTTTCTACTCATCTTTTAACCACATTTTACTTGTCTCAGTTTTCCTCTCAAATTGCTTAATATCCAGGTTTCTGTACTGTTTATATATTTGAGTATATGTTCATCTAATATCCACATTTCTTCACCATTCGAATATGTCCTGATTTTATAAATCACTAGCTTTACCCGGCCACGCGTTGCTGTGGCATAGTTTGGCTAAATTGAAAAGAAAGAAAATAGAAATCTTGCTTCGTACATCGAAGTAGTCAGAAAAATTACCCAAGTGAAAAGCAATGAAAACAGGAAAAATACACAATTTTACATTGTCATTGTAATTGTTCTTAGTTTTTCCACCTGGTGCGTACACGAATAAATCAGTAGGTTTTCCGACGCGTGAACAGGCCACATATGGCTGTCCATGTGAAAGGCATAGATGTTCCAAATGTAGTCCACCACACACTTGTTCTGATTGTCCATGTGATTTGTTGATGGTCATTGCAAAGGCGAGTCGCACCGGAAACTGCAAGCATTTGAATTTGAATGGCATGTCTGTTGGAATTGCGTTGCATTAGTATATCCTGGTCCTTAAATGTTCATGTAAAATTGTACTTACGATGATATTGGGCACCATCTTTTTTACTGAAAGCCTGGTACCACTGCAAAGATGTGGCGGATTGATGTTTCTGAGAAGAATAACAGGCACGCCAACTTTCAATGTTAAAACATAGGGTGGCATGCCTGGCAAATCAAGCGAATTAAAGAACTCAGTTGGATAATTGACAACCTCATCTTGAATCATTACAGTATCGATAGACTTATACGTTGTCACACCGCCTGGTAATTTGTCTTGGATGTTCGGATTCATGGCATACACATCCTTATTTTTAGCTGCTAAGATAGCACGTTCACTTAGCCACTGATGATTTATGTAATTCTGTGTGATATTAGGGAAAACTTTGTGCCATATAATGAGTTGACATACTTTGAGTATTTTACCCATTGCAGAATCATTGTTGATATTGTTTGTTGGTGTCTCAGTGATATGCATATTTAAAGGCAACTTCAGTGCTGAATGCGCTGTTCGGCCAACATCCAAAAGAGTTGCAGCAAATCCAGAAGATGTGATTGCCAGTGCAATATTATTTTGTGACCGTATGGATGCCAAAATAAACGAAATGAGAAAGGTCTTGCCTGTGCCTCCGAGTGCATCTGTGAAATACAATCCTCCGTGTTGTCTTGTAACGGCATGCATAATTGTGTCATATGCTATACGTTGTTTTGGAACCAATTTTGGAAGATTTGTTTGAACAAATGTACCTAATTCGGTGACATCAAAGTGTGTCTCTCGTTGCAACTCACGATCCAAAAGGTTGTTTGCAGATCGTTCTGGTGTAGCCAGTCCCAGCTGAACCAGTGCTTTATTAGTTATTGCCAAACATATGTCCTCAATGCAGACCAATGCCTCATTATATACATTTGGTGTGAATTGAAGGTCCTGATCTTGCTCCGTTTCACGCCAGCGATGTAGGATGTCTTCACTCATGTAGTCTTTGTATTTTTCCCAAAGCTCTTTTAGATTGGATGGGAAGCAAGTTGTTATTATTATTGCAAATAATGTGCGTATTTGCTGTGGTCGAGAAGTATTCGAAGCATCAGCGAGTGGTGTCCCAATGTGCATCATTTTCAAGAAGATTTAATTCTTGGCACGTGTAGTATGTTTGCAGGTCAGAGTAAAGTAGTGTCTTTGCAAACATATCATCTCTACACAATGAGAAAAATCAGTTAACGTGGTTGGCGGTGGAAACAGTGCTCGTGCATGTGCATTTTCTGTAGTGAAGTACACGCGCTGTCCAATGTCAAGGTGCACTGCCAAATGAACAACCGCTGGATGTCGTTCATGAATTGGAAATGACAAAATGTGCCATACTGCTTCATTGCTTACAAATGTAGCGCCCCATCTGATATTGCTTGATTTCATCAATAGATGCAGCTGCATGTCCCACTCCAAAGACTGCCATATCACCTCCTTTGTTGACATATTTGCAAATGTACTTATGTTTGCCAAGAAATGTGTCGACTGGCCTGTGTCACCTACTACCAATGATGATAATGGTTCGGGTGGTGAATGTACTACTGGCCATTTAACTTTTCCACCAGCGCAGCACATACCCGCCTTGTCATTCTTAAATTTGGAGGCACTGCAATGTACGCACAATTTATCCATTTTGCCAGTAAGCACCTGTAGATGAAGACTGTAATCATTATTGCTGTTGTAATGGAATGCACCAAGATTCAAATTAACATGCAGTGTTCGCCTGGATAAAGTAGTGCGCATTCGAACGGTGTCCAGTCTTGCTTTCTGTTGCTCGACTGTGTCTGATAAACGGACTTGAGCAATGAGTACTCTATTGGTTTCCAGTCTTGCTACTCGATGCTCGTCTGACTGAGATGATTTGGCTTCAGCAGTGCGCACTTAAACGTTTTCTAGTCTTGCTTTCCGTTGCTGGTCTGATTGAGATGAACGGGCTTCAGTAGGGCGCACGAATGGTTTCCAGTCTTACCTCACGTTGCTCGTCTGTTTCTGAAGCGATTAATGCCCTTCTCTTGCGTGTTTTAGGTGTAGATGGGCCAATCGCTTGTCGTTTGGGAAGCATAACTGCAAATTTTGTGAGCGCTGATCATCAGTAGCTTGTTTGTCCTCATGATGAAATGTGACTTGAAGGATCACTGAAATAAATGAAAATATGAGCATGAGATAACAATCTATTTTGACTCAAGAGGAAATGCATAGAAACTGGGCAGCAAATAGTAAGAAAAGGCTGTATATAAGACAATATGAGAAAGCCAACAGATAATGTGCATACATTTATCATTGTGGGATTTAAGGAGTGGTCCACACATGTATTTGAAGTTTTAAAAATGTACATAATGACTGATGTCACTGAAATAAATTCGCTCACCTGTTGAGATATTTCTAGATTTTAACATTGACCTGAGACGGAATGTCATGTAAATTTATGTAATTCTTTTGAATAATAAAAGAAAGCCAACCAAAACTGTTGTACTCATGAGTATGAGTATGAGAAAGATAACAGATAATGATTAATGATAATGCGTATACATTTATCATTGCGGGATTTAAGAAGTGGTCCACACCTGTTTGAAGTTAACAAAAAACATGTACATACTGACTGATGTCACTGAAATAAATGCGCTCACCTGTTGAGATATTTCTAGAATCTAACACTGACCTGAGACGGAATGTTGTGTAAATTAATATAATTCTTTTGAATAACAAAAAAAAAAAGCCAACCAAAACTGTTGTACCCATGAGTATGAGAAAGATAACAGATAATGATTAATGATAATGTGTATATATTTGTCATTGCGGGATTTAAGAAGTGGTGCACACCTGTTTGAAGTAAACAAAAAACATGTACATACTGGTTTCCAGTCTCACCTCACGTTGCTTGTCTGTTTCTGAAGCAATTAATGCCCTTCTCTAGCGTGTTTTAGGTGTAGATGGGCCAATCGCTTGTCTTTTGGCAAGCATAACTGCAAATTATGTGAGCGCTGATCATCAATAGCTTGTTCGTCCTCACGCACTGACTTGAAGTATCGCTGAAATAAATGAAAATATGAGCATGAGATAACAATCTATTTTGACTCAAGAGGAAATGCATAGAAACTGGGCAGCAAATAGTAAGAAAAGGCGGTATATAAGACAATATGAGAAAGCCAACAAATAATGTGCATACATTTATCATTGTGGGATTTAAGGAGTGGTCCACACATGTATTTGAAGTTTAAAAAAATGTACATAATGACTGATGTCACTGGAAATAAATGCGCTCACCTGTTGAGATATTTCTAGATTTTAACACTGATCTGAGACGGAATGTCATGTAAATTTATATAATTCTTTTGAATAACAGAAGAAAGCCAACCAAAACTGTTGTACCCATGAGTATGAGAAAGATAACAGATAATGATTAATGATAATGTGTATATATTTATCATTGCGGGATTTAAGAAGTGCACACTTGTTTGAAGTAAACAAAAAACATGTACATACTGATTCATGCTACTGAAATAAATGCTCTTACCTTTTTAGATATTTCTAGATAACACAACTAAAAACCAATGGCCGTTTTCTTTGTAATTTTGCGGGCGGATGTTGGTATGCACGGTAAATCGATCGCACGTAACGTGGCTATAATTAGATGTCACTAAAAATTTAAATATTAGTTTCGAATATTTTTGCTTAAATTGTCGCAAACTATATCTAACAATGACAGGTTAAATTTCAAACCATGATGGGTGAACATCCGGTATCAAAACAAACATATCCTGAAAATTTCAGCTAAATCGGTTCAGTAGTTTCCGAGTCTATAGGCTATAAACAAACACACAAACATTGATTTTTATATATATAGATTAGTGTCCTCACTGTGGAGTTTGACATCCTTAGTTGGTAACTAATAACTCAGTCAATGTGTGATTTTTCATCCTTGGCCGTGGCAGTGATTATGGTCACAGGCGTGAGGGAAACTTTAGGTCGCTATAATGTGAATAAGGAGCATACCTCACCTTGGGCACCAGCTGGCTCTGTTGCTGGTTTTATGGATCCTCGTACAAGACTCCTGCCACACATCCCGATCATGCAATACTCCTGTCACACATCCCGATCATGCAAGACTCCTGCCACACATCCCTATCATGCAAGACTCCCTGCCACACATCCTCATCATGCAAGACTCCTGCCACACATCCTGATCATGCAAGACTCCTACAACACATCCCCATCATGCAAGACTCCTGCCACACATCCCTGTCATACAAGGCTCTTGCTACACATCCCAATCATACAAGACTCCTTCCACACATCCCCATCATGCAAGACTCCCGCCACACATCACTATCATGCAAGACTCCTGCCACACATCCCCATCATGCAAGGCTCCCTGCCACACATCTCAATCATACAAGACTCCTTCCACACATCCCCATCATGCAACACTCCCGCCACACATCCCCATCATGCAAGACTCCTGCCACACATCCCCATAATGTAAGACTCCTGCCACACATCCCCATTATGCAAGACTCACTGCCACACATCCCCATCATGCAACACTCCCGCCACACATCCCCATCATGCAAGACTCACTGCCACACATCCCCATCATGCAAGACTCACTGCCACACATCCCCATCATGCAAGACTCCCTGCCACACATCCCCATCATGCAAGACTCACTGCCACACATCCCCATCATGCAAGACTCACTGCCACACATCCCCATCATGCAAGACTCACTGCCACACATCCCCATCATGCAACACTCCCGCCACACATCCCCATCATGCAAGACTCACTGCCACACATCCCCATCATGCAAGACTCACTGCCACACATCCCCATCATGCAAGACTCACTGCCACACATCCCCATCATGCAACACTCCCGCCACACATCCCCATCATACAACACTCCCGCCACACATCCCCATCATGCAAGACTCACTGCCACACATCCCCATCATGCAAGACTCACTGCCACACATCCCCATCATGCAACACTCCCGCCACACATCCCCATCATGCAACACTCCCGCCACACATCCCCATCATACAACACTCCCGCCACACATCCCCATCATGCAAGACTCACTGCCACACATCCCCATCATGCAACACTCACTGCCACACATCCCCATCATGCAAGACTCACTGCCACACATCCCCATCATGCAAGACTCACTGCCACACATCCCCATCATGCAAGACTCCCTGCCACACATCCCCATCATGCAAGACTCACTGCCACACATCCCCATCATGCAAGACTCACTGCCACACATCCCCATCATGCAACACTCCCGCCACACATCCCCATCATGCAACACTCCCGCCACACATCCCCATCATACAACACTCCCGCCACACATCCCCATCATACAACACTCCCGCCACACATCCCCATCATGCAAGACTCACTGCCACACATCCCCATCATGCAAGACTCACTGCCACACATCCCCATCATGCAAGACTCACTGCCACACATCCCCATCATGCAAGACTCACTGCCACACATTCCCGTCATGCAAGACTCCCTGCCACACATCCCCATCATGCAACACTCCTGCCACACATTCCCGTCATACAAGACTCCTTTCACACATCCCCATCATGCAACACTCCCGCCACACATCCCCATCATGCAACACTCCCGCCACACATCCCCATCATGCAACACTCCCGCCACACATCCCCATCATGCAAGACTCCTACCACACATCTTCATCATGTAAGACTCCTGCAACACATCCACGTCATGCACCAAGTATAATGGCTTAAATGATCTTGCAGGGGATTTCGGAGTTGGTGGCTCCCAGAGATAAAGTGTCCATCCAGGTTGTCATCAGCCCACCCCTAATGCATGCGTGGAAAAATCTATCAAAACTAGTTTACATGATTTAAGCCCGCTAGCCGAATATACTACTCTCAGGTAAAATATCTGTCGAATAAATAAACTGCTGAGACTCAGCCCAAGACCAAAAGATTTGCTCACAGCCTGAGGGCTGTATCTCACAGTACAGTCCTGCCTGTGAACATCCCCTGGCTATCCTTAATGTCATTGTCACGGCTGTCACCGCATTCTGCCACTGTCAATCAGCTATTAGGCTCAAATATCTGTTCGATACATGCCTTGTGGCATAGCAGCAAAGTCCTTAATGTCTGACCATGAAAACTCCTGCTGGTTAGCAGAAAGATTCAAATGTCCATTACCACTGGCCCGACTAGCCACAGTGTCAGGAACAAACAGGAGAAGTGATGACCGATGCATACATTTTTCATGCTGTCAAGCTGTCTAGAAGAAACAATGTTAAAAGTGTCTAACGTGCCGAAGAAGATTGTACCTATATGTGGGGTCATCAAAGTCCCTGGCCTGCAGGCTGATCACCAGAGGGTACAGCCTTTAACATGTGGCAAGCTTAGCATACAGATGTGAGGTTAAGCAGTCATGTGCAGGACATGGCGATTCCTTGGGTGAGCCAATAGCATCATGTGTCAGCCCTGCATTTATGGGCCTTCTTGGATGTTGAGGAATGCCCATAATCTGCCCCTGCATTCCCCGACCAATCTACACCTGGTTGCTCTGGATGAGTTTTCTAGGGGCAACAGCTGTAGGTAAGGAAAAGAAGAGAGCAACACACAAATAAGGCTACATTGTGTCTTACAAAACTAGGAAGTTAACTTGGTCAACCAATGCTCGATAAATTCGGATGTGTCGGCTGACACAGTTTTGCTGTAAACAGGCACAGTGCAGTTACTTAATTCGGATGTGTCGGCTGACACAGTTTTGCTGTAAACAGGCACAGTGCAGCTACTTAATTCGGCTGAACGAAAAGAAGAAGAAGATATTGTTAGCTACAGACTGGTTTCTCTGTTAGTCTGGGGTTTAACATCCTTGGCCACAGACTGGTCAAGAACAAAGAACCTGCCACCCCCACCTTATAAAGCCAGGCTTGGATGTTGTAACATCTTTCGTGTGTTTTGTCATCCTTTAGGATCTCATTATGATGTAACATTTTAAACATAGGTTCTCCTCCCTTTTCATTCATAGTTACAAATATCAGCATGAGCTGTGGTGATGTGATGTAGTGTAAACACTTCCATACTGGTCCGAAGGTCTAGGGCTCTTTTCTTGTTCCTAAACTGGCTCCTGGTTGACCCCACCTAAAATGGGCATGTGATGTCCTGGGAAGTAAAGTGGGCGGCAGGATGGTGCCCAGGTCATCACCCAAGGGTTGATCGGTCAATTAAATGAGATGTCCAGCACTATGATTGCCCAGTGCACCACTGTTGTGAAAAGAGTTCTTGACTCTACAACCATCATCAATGACAGCTTGCAAATGATACTTTCTCTCTCTCTCTGTGTTTAATATCTGCAGCCTCCAACATCAAGGCTGGCTGGTGGTATTCCTTCAACATTCAAGGATCTGGTGGAGAGAAAGGTGGGTTCTAAGTTACATATTGATATGGTGATCACCTCATTTACTGTCTCTACATTAAAGGTTTGCTGCAGTGAGTTCCAAACATTCTGTTTTGTTTATGGTGATCACCTTATTTACTGTCTCTACATTAAAGGTTTGCTGCAGTGAGTTCCTAACATTCTGTTTTTTCATGATGCATTTATGTAAGATTCCATTTTAATTTGTATCTTGATGCTGTCAGCCCATTTGTAAGGTTGTCATCCTCTTGCTTGGTGCCTTGCAGCTCATCATTTAGTAAGAAGCTGCCTCTTTCAATGATCTAAGTGTCCTAATTGTTTGACCATAATCCCATTCAGTGTTTTCTCTAACTAATGGTTTAGAAAACTTCTTCGCGTTCTCCATATTTGTTTCTTTCTATAACCAAAGTTCTCCCCCCCCCCCCCCCTCTTCCTTTATCCACACACAAAAAAATGAAGCCCCAGAACTCAAATGGGGGACCTCATTTCTAAATATCAGTTTCACAAGGATTTAGCTCTTTCATTCTTCTTCTTTCTTCTACTCCTGGAATACCTCACAGCATCAGGGCAGGAAGAAATCTCTGGAATGGGCCTTTCTGTTCACTTTATGTATAGTACTTTGATATTTCTGCAGTCCATCATTTGTGTAGTCAACCTCTGGCTCTGTTACCGCTGTATCTGTATAACATTTCTCTCTTTGGTGCCCCATCTGATGCCAGTCTTATAAGAAAAATCAAGGATTTCTGCTTGCATTTTCTTTTCAAGTTTGGATTTTAAGGTCCATTTTTTTACAGGCATTTAGAAGAGATGTACATAATGTTTTTGTGGATTTGAAAAAGGCGTATGATAGTGTACATAGAAACATTATGGAATGCTATAAAGGACTGCGATACCAAAGAAATTAATTATCATGACCAAACTATGTATGGAAGACACATATAATGTATTAACATATAAAGGCAGAAGGTCAGACTCAAATAACATCTGGTTTAAAGCAAGGTGATGCTCTGTCCCCACTTCTTTTCAACTTGGCCCTAGAGAAAATTATAAGAAAATTGAAACAAGTGTACTAAAGGAGAAACTACCAGAATACTTGGATATGCTGATGACATAAATGTTGTTTGAGAAAATGAACTAGAGACTAAAAACACTGACTCTCTTAAAAGAAGCAGCTCACAAATTGGGACTAGTTATCAATCAAGGTAAGACAGAATACATGATAATAACAAGAAAAGGATATAAACTCGGGCCACATACAAGTCGATAATATGAATATCAAATGAATGGAGACATAGAAGTATTTGGGGAGAATTTCAACGGCATGCTGAGAGAAGAAATACAATCTGGAAATAAAATATATATCATGAGATCTAACAAACTGAAATGGCTTGGGCATGTTGAGAGAATGTAAAATAACAGAGACATAAAAACTGTATACACAAGGGAACTGAATGGACATAGACCACAAAGCACACTAAAAAGACGACTGAGAGATAACGTCCAGACAGACCTGCAAACACTTGGCATCATCAACTGGAAAGAGAAGGCCAACCAGAGAGATGAATCGAGGCAGGTGATATCTACAGCAGTGAGCCTCAAGGACTCAGAATGCTGAAGAAGAAGAAGAATAAGATGTCAAGGGGCTGATAGCTAGTGCTTGAAGTAACTGTATTTCTGTCTTTTTTGGATCCCCATGAAATTTGTACCTTGATACATAGTTACAAAATATAACTGAGGCGTGGGCAGTGGTGAAACAAACAGTTCACTTAGAGTTACTAGCCTTGTCATAAATCCCCCCCCCCCACCCCCCCCCCCCCTTTTCCCTTTAAGAGCTAATAACTTGAGCATTTCATTTGATGTTGTATGTTGCAGGCGGAGCAGGAGGACCTCTTGTACATACCATTACCAGGGAAAACACGGGAGGGGAAACAAGTGTACAGATTCGGCAAGGCTTCTATCTACTACGACCATAATGTGGTCTTCATGCAGGATCCCAACAGCGGGCAGTGGTTGCCCACATCCCTGAACCAGTTAACAGAAGCTGCAAAATAGTTTGTAAATTTGCCACATAGGGTTAACATCTTTTTCCTGCTGTGTAACTGAAAAGTCTGCATTAGTTTTCTTTATACTGTTGTCATTATGCCAAAATCACCTGGGTGCTAAATATTTGTTTCAAGAAAATTGTGTTTGGACACTGAGATTAGATTAAAATTACGTGGTTGTATTGGAAGTAATGCTTCATTTTACCTATTAGGAGTAAAAATTCACAGGTCAGGTGTTCTTGGCATTTTGTAAAGTGACAAATAACAGCCTTGAAAGTTTACTTGCTGGGAAACTTGCTGAAAGTGCCTCAGGTGACTGATGTGGTGGCAACAAATCTGACATAACAGAAGAATGCTTAAAATACTGTGATTGACAACTTATAGGCATTCTACAAAATGCAGAAAACTGGCTGCTAAACTGTACCATGTTTTGAAAACTGAAGTACTGTGACCATGTTTTGAGTACTGAAATACTGTGACCATGTCTTGAAAGCTGAAGAACTGTGACCATGTTTTGAAAGCTGAAGTACTGTGACCATATCTTGAAACCTTAAGTAGAAGTACTGTGACCATGTCTTGAAAGCTGAAGTACTGTGACCATGTCTTGAAAGCTGAAGTACTGTGACCATGTCTTGAAAGCTGAAGTACTGTGACCATGTCTTGAAAGCTGAAGTACTGTGACCATGTCTTGAAAACTGAAGTACTGTGACCATGTCTTGAAAACTGAAGTACTGTGACCATGTCTTGAAAACTGAAGTATTGAGACCATGTTTTGAGAACTGAAGTACTGTGACCATGTTTTGAAAACTGAAGTACTGTGACCATGTCTTGAAAATTGAAGTATTGTGACCATCTCTTGAAAACTGAAGTATTGAGACCATGTCTTGAAAGCTGAAGTACTGTGACCATGTCTTGAAAGCTGAAGTACTGTGACCATGTCTTGAAAGCTGAAGTACTGTGACCATGTCTTGAAAACTGAAGTACTAAGATCATGTCTAATGTGGCAGTGGTTTAGAGGGCAGTATTAAAGGACATTATTCCTGGAAGGCAAAGCCGGAGCTGAATGATTCAATGGTGGTCACAAGGCATTTTTGAAACCTGGAAGTGGGGAAATAAATCAGTTGATAGTGCATCCTTTCAGCTGCAATATATCATTCTGAAATATGGATAAACATGGTGCAAAAGTTTTCAGATATATTTAAAAAATAATAATAACAAGAGCGATCTGAATTGACACAGTAAGATATGAACAAGTTCTGGAAACTATAACAGGATAAAGACTTGTGAATGTCTTCAGAAAGCAACGACTGTCGTGGCTTAGTCATATTCTCACATATGACGAGTCACCAGAGAGATGACTACAAGGCAGGATATTGGAAGCAGGGGCTAAGAGCTTGAGCCAGGACAACATTTGTCAAACCGGCAGACCCAGATCTGTCAGTGTAGGTATATAAGGAACTAGATAGTTTAACAGTGGACAGACAACTTTCCCGCATGGGTTTCAGGGTACCATTGGGGGAGGGGGGGGGGGGTGGAGAAAATAGACCTATAGACAGGATTAAAAGGTGACAAATTAGGGGCGTTTCTTTTGAAGGCATGGTGCATTTGCCTGATAGGCAAAGAATCAAAAGTCTGCATACAAAACTCAAGTTCTGTAACAAAGCTTAAGTACAGAAGTGGACAAACAACCAGATCTTTCAGCTAGAGTTTACAGACAATGTATGTGCAGTAAAAGAAAGAAATTATCAGGAAACTTCCTAGCTAGCTCATGGGCTGAAATACTTGATGGTGGTGACAAATGTCTAATGTGTAGTACTGTTGATGTCTTGTTTTCATTGTGGCTATTTTGTAATTTTTTTTTTAGCTTCTTTGAAATCAAAGAACTTTGGCAGATCAGTTTATATGCACATTGTGTTTTTATGTAAATAAATACTGTTATCTTGTTCAAGATGTTTTGTTGTTTTATCATGGAATTGAGTTGTCACTGTAAATGTGACAGGATTGACAAGAGTCTGCTACAACCTAGGAAGACGTCTGCTGTCACAATCACTAAGGTTGTTGTTTGTCATTAACAAATTGTGTATCCTTTACAGGATATTGCAGAACTAACCCCAGCATTTGTTGGCTGCTTTTAGTTTTACAATGAAATTTTATATTTCATAGTTTGCCTTTATAATAATAATGTCCAGATAGACCTGCAAACACTTGGTGTCACCAACTGGAAAGAGAAGGCCCACCAGAGAGATGAGTGGAGGCGGGCGATATCTGCAGCAATGAACCTCAAGGGCTCAGAATTCTGAAGATGAAGAACTTTGCCATTGCTTTCAACGGTCGGCACCCACACCATTGTTGAAATCAGTACAAAGCAGTCTGGTCAAAATGGCCTGCACTAAGTTAAACGGGGTTTTTGAATAACAAAACATTGACAGTGCTAGGTCAGAAACACTATTGGTTGTTCATAAGCATTTGGGGGTGGGGGGGGGGGTAGTTTCAAGATACAAGTTATTCACCTGAAGAACTTAGTCATGGTACAGATTACATTCATAGTGAGATGAGATAATTTCAAGAAACAAGTTATTCACCTGAAAAACTTAGTCATGGTACAGATTACATTCATAGTTAGGTGAGATAGTTTCAAGATACAAGTTATTCACCTGAAGAACTTAGTCATGGAACAGATTACATTCATAGTGAGATGAGATAGTTTCAAGAAACAAGTTATTCACCTGAAGAACTTAGTCATGGAACAGATTACATTCATAGTGAGATGAGATAGTTTCAAGAAACAAGTTATTCACCTGAAGAACTTAGTCATGGTACAGATTACATTCATAGTGAGATGAGATAGTTTCAAGATACAAGTTATTCACCTGAAGAACTTAGTCGTGGAACAGATTACATTCATAGTGAGATGAGATAGTTTCAAGAAACAAGTTATTCACCTGAAGAAGTTAGTCATGGTACAGATTACATTCATAGTGAGATGAAATAGTTTCAAGATACAAGATATTCACCTGAAGAACTTAGTCATGGTACAGATTACATTCATAGTGAGATGAAATAGTTTCAAGGTACAAGTTATTCACCTGAAGAACTTTGTCATGGAACAGATTACATTCATAGTGAGATGAAATTGTTTTAAGATACAAGTTATTCACCCGAAGAGCTTAGTCATGGAACAGATTACATTCATAGTGAGATGAGATAGTTTCAAGATACAAGTTATTCACCTGAAGAACTTAGTCGTGGAACAGATTACATTCATAGTGAGGTGAGATAGTTTCAAGATACAAGTTATTCACCTGAAGAACTTAGTCATGGAACAGATTACATTCATAGTGAGATGAGATAGTTTCAAGATACAAGTTATTCACCTGAAGAACTTAGTCATGGAACAGATTACATTCATAGTGAGATGAGATAGTTTCAAGGTACAAGTTATTCACCTGAAGAACTTTGTCATGGAACAGATTACATTCATAGTGAGATGAAATTGTTTTAAGATACAAGTTATTCACCCGAAGAGCTTAGTCATGGTACAGATTACATTCATAGTTAGGTGAGATAGTTTCAAGATACAAGTTATTCACCTGAAGAACTTAGTCATGGAACAGATTACATTCATAGTGAGATGAGATAGTTTCAAGAAACAAGTTATTCACCTGAAGAACTTAGTCATGGAACAGATTACATTCATAGTGAGATGAGATAGTTTCAAGAAACAAGTTATTCACCTAAAGAACTTAGTCATGGTACAGATTACATTCATAGTGAGATGAGATAGTTTCAAGATACAAGTTATTCACCTGAAGAACTTAGTCGTGGAACAGATTACATTCATAGTGAGATGAGGTAGTTTCAAAAAACAAGTTATTCACCTGAAGAAGTTAGTCATGGTACAGATTACATTCATAGTGAGATGAGATAGTTTCAAGATACAAGTTATTCACCTGAAGAACTTAGTCATGGTACAGATTACATTCATAGTGAGATGAAATAGTTTCAAGGTACAAGTTATTCACCTGAAGAACTTAGTCATGGAACAGATTACATTCATAGTGAGATGAAATTGTTTTAAGATACAAGTTATTCACCTGAAGAACTTAGTCATGGAACAGATTACATTCATAGTGAGATGAGATAGTTTCAAGAAACAAGTTATTCACCTGAAGAACTTAGTCATGGTACAGATTACATTCATAGTGAGATGAGATAGTTTCAAGATACAAGTTATTCACCTGAAGAACTTAGTCGTGGAACATATTACATTCATAGTGAGATGAGATAGTTTCAAGATACAAGCTATTCACCGGAAGAACTTAGTCATGGAACAGATTAATTTATGTACTGAGGCTCTGCTATATTTAATTTGTATTGCATTTATATCATTAACTTGTTTATATTTTTCACACACAAGCACATACACTTTCCCTATTTCTCTAAGGGCATTGACAATATCTGATTCATGGGCCGACCATCTTCAATGAATGCGGCACCTGCCAGTCTATCAGCTTTCTCATTACCAACAACATCTCTATGCCCTAGGACAAATTTGAAGTTAACTGCACACACAGGAGAGTTTTGCAAAGACTCAAGCCACTGTCTGCGTAACCAGCCTGCCTCGACCCACCGGATCATGCTCAAAGAGTCACTCAGCACACATGCGAAATTAGTCCTGTGATCCCAGCCACATGAAAGCCTGTGTCACCGCCATCACCTCCATTGTCATGCTGCTGGTAGTCATGGAGAAGGCACTACTGGCTTCTTGAACTGTTCTGCATGAAGAGCGAGCTGTAAATGCCTTGCACTCTTATGTCCTTGTAAAACTGACTTATCTGTGAAGATCAGCACAACTGACTTGTCACTGATAAGTGCGCATACCTCGGCATTGGCAGCAACAGGATTCTGTTCCCAACAACTCCTGTCAAGCGTGAAGACACAGGAGAATGTGAGATTGGGCGCTTTAGACGCTGATATCCATTCCTCACCTGGATGGATATCTGTAAGGCT